GGATTGTTATGCTAAACCCTGCAGGTGGATTAAATTCCGGCATAATAAGAATGTGATGAACGAGCGCTAGCTTCGGTGAAATAATAATAAATTAATTAATTCTTGATTGTCAGTAATCGAATTAATTAATGGACATTATATCTTAAACGTGGGGAGGTAAATCGAGTAATTATTATTGGAGTCTCAAATGTAATTTGGGCTAGGGAAAGAGAGTGCAATAATATAATGTTGGTGGCCCATTAATATTATTTAATTAATTAGAGGAGTGGGTTTGACCCACATTTGGTCTAATTAATTAAGGAGCCCTTTTCCTAATCTCCTTAGGATCCCTACTGTAGCTCTATATATACATCATTAAGCTCATGAGAAGAGAACAGAAGTCTCATTCTCATCGTGAAACACGCCTCTCTCTCTAGATCTCATTCGAGCTTTATCTTCTTCTTGTTGCTCCACTGGTACAAGTTGAAGAAGGGTGTATTGAATAATACAGTAGAAGATCTGTAGGTAAACTGAGACGAAATAGATTTTGACCTACAGAACTAACCGGAAGTCGGATTGAGACGTACAGTATATCCAGACGACCGTCTCGACGAGAGCTTTCCATCGCCGCCGACGTCGCCAGAATCCGACGCCGGACGCGACCTCACGCGCCGCCGGAAGCTCCCAGGCTGCAAGTTTCGTTTTGATCTGTTTGCATCCGTTTGATCCGATTTTGATCTGATCTTGTTCCTGCAACCCAAGACGCGTGTTGCGGTCAATCAATTGCGGTCAACCGTTCGTGGTCAACCAGATCTACATAAATTTTAAGCCGTAAGTTCTCTACGTCAAACCTTTAGATCCGCTGCGCATAGGTTTACGTTTGCTATTGAATTCGTGATTTGTACATAACGAGATCCTCACAGATCCCAACAAGTGGTATCAGAGAACTTGGTTAATTCGTTTTGTACAAAGTTCGAATTTTTACGGCTTTATTTGACAAGATGTGTTCAAACGCGGCCATATATTGGATTATATTTGCATAACTCGGTTTTGCAGGAAAATAGTTAATCCACTATTATGGCCGATTATGTGTTTGATGAATGTTGTTGAATGTGATGTATGGTTTTAAATTTGTTTTTAAGGCCTCGGGCATGTCGAGTAATTTATGGATGAATGTTTGTAATAATTATTCGCCCGGGAGTTGACCGGATAGATTTAATTATTTGTTTAGAAAACATGTACATTCATTCGTTGGATCTAGGATCGAATTATGTAATTTTGTAATTTATATTTTTCGTGTTGTGATCGTGGGTTGATAACCGGGAGATCACAAGAGATCAACGAGCCTCGAAGAATTAAAAAAAAAAAAAGGAAACGGCGCGTTTTTCCGACCACTGGTGGCGGCGGCCGGCGGCCGGGCGGCAGCCAGGCGGCAGTCGGCGGTTGGCTGCAGGAGGTGGAGAGGTTTTGCCTTCTTGTCCAAGCAGTACAAGATCAACCAGGATTCTACTGCTTAAAGGTGTTCCAGTTGAACAGGGAAAAGAACTGTCACAGTTTCCTTGTTTAAGGAGACTCAATATTTAATGGCCATAATAGTGGATTTATTTATTTATTTAATTAAATTTATTATGCCATTAAATTATTGTTTATGCATGTTAATTAATTATGTTCTTGCATGGGATTAATTTAGTATTGCTAGATTAATTATGCATGTTAATTAATTATGTAATGCATAGAATTAATTTAGAATTGTGTCAATAAATTATGCATGTAATTAATTATTGCACTGGCATGTATTAATTCAGAATTGCATAAATTATTGAACATGTTAATTAATTATTGCATTGACATAGATTAATTTAGAATTGCATGAATTAATATGCATGTTAATTAATTATTGCATTAACATAGATTAATTTGGAATTGTATAAATAGTTAAAAATCCTCATTAAATTATACTAAGTTTGAGAAGGGATTTTAAATTAAAGTTAATTGTAAAATTCCTAAGGCCTCCATTTCTAATTTGTCGGTAAATCAATTAATTGCGGTAATGGGCTCCCTCTCGGGTGACATTGCTAAAATCAATTGTAGGAAATTACCAGGACAAATTTCTAAAAGTAGACGGTTAGAGGAAATCTTATGAGAGCGTACGGGCTTCCCCTCGGATGACGTATAATCAAATTTGACGACCTTAGGACCGAGAAATGGGATTCACTTAGAATGCGATTAAATTTATTAACCCCCCTCGGGGTCCCTGAATTCTATTGCATGGCCAAATGGAGACCGACTATTAATTTCGTTCGTCATGAATTTGGTTTTGACTTACGAAAATTAATGGGCCTTAGAAAAGCCTTTCTCTTACAAAATGCGAGTTTGTAGGGCGACCCTCGTAGCATGCATTCTCACAAGGTGTAATAGATGTCGGTGGATTTAAGTTAATGTTGTTTTGAGGATATCAATATTAACAGTTAAATTCAAAAGTGTTTAATCTGTAAAATTTATTTGCATGATTCTCAGGATATTCATCATGTCGTTCAATCCGTTGTCTGTCATTCTAAAAGAAAATCAACTTACTGGTCCTAATTACATTGATTGGAAGAGGAACTTAGACATAGTGTTGACTACTGAGGGTTATAAGTTTGCTATCACTGATGCTTGTCCGGCGATGCCGGCGGCTGATGCTCTTGAGCAGGAGAAAGAGGAGTATGCTCGGTGGAAGAAGGCTGATGAGATGGCGAAGTGTTACATTCTGGCTTCTATGTCAAATGTTCTTCAACATCAGCATCAGTCTAAGGACACTGCAGCAGATATACTTCTCAATCTCAGGGATCTGTTCGGACATCAGTCTAGGGCTGCTAGGCAAGAGGCTTTGAGTGCTCTGATGAGTACGCGCATGGCCGAGGGCACACCCGTAAGGGAGCACGCCCTCAGGGTTATGGCGCAGCTCAATGAGCTTGAGGTTATGGGAGGTTATATTGACGGGGAAACCCAGGTTGATATTATGCTCCAATCTCTACCGAAGAGCTTTGATCAGTTCCGGTTGAACTACAACATGTACAAGATGCATATGGCTCTCCCAGAACTGCTTGCAGAGCTTCAGTCAGCGGAGACCTTATTCACTCAAGCACCTCAGGTGCTTGTCGCCGAGCAGGCTGGACCTTCCAGGCCTCACAAGGGCAGGAAGAGAAAGAAGTCTACAGGAAAGGCGAAGGCACAGGATGCTCCAGTTTACCCACGACCGACCCCTCAGGCTGTGGCAAAGAAACCGAAAGGAAGATGCCACAAGTGCAATAAGTCAGGACACTGGAAGGTCGATTGCCCTCTCCTCAAGAAAGGTAACTCTCTCGTTAATGTCGTAGAAACATGTTTAGCGGTTGTATCTACCAGAACCTGGTGTGTAGATACTGGAGCCACTGATCATGTCTGCAATTCTTTGCAGGGGTTCCAAGAAACCAAGCGACTTAGGGAGAGAGAGATCACCGTCTACATGGGCAATGCTACGAAAGTGGCGGCTGTTGCAGTGGGAGACGTTACTTTATCGTTCGATAGTAGTAGTTTGGTTTTGAGAAATTGCCTTTATGTTCCTAGTTTTAGAAAGAACCTTGTTTCAGTTTCTAAACTCGTTATGGATGGTTTTTCAGTTTCGTTTGATGACATGGTTATTATTCGTTTTGAAAATCGTTTCATATGTTGTGGTTCATTAGTTGGCAATTTATATGTTCTCAAACCGAACTCTCCCACAGTGCAACATAATGAATTGAATAATGTCATAACTACATCTAATAAGAGGAAGGAGTCTTCGCAGATGAATCAAGCATATCTGTGGCACCTTAGACTTGGACACATCAACCTTAGGAGGATTCAAAAGTTAGTGGCCAGTGGACATCTCGGTCCATTGGAAGAGCACTATCCAACTTGCGAATCATGCCTAGAAGGTAAGATGGCCAAGAGGCCGTTTACGGCAAAGGGGTATAGGAGCCAAGAAGTGCTAGGATTGATTCATTCTGATTTGTGTGGTCCTATGTCGATCCAGGCTAGAGGAGGTTTCGAGTACTATGTGTCTTTCATAGATGATTACTCGAGATTTGGGTACGTTTATCTGTTGCACCGCAAGTCCGAATGCTTTGAGAAATTCAAGGAGTATCGGGCAGTTGTGGAGAAGCTTCATGGTAAATGTATCAAGTCACTTCGTTCTGATCGAGGTGGCGAATACCTTTTTGGAGAGTTCAGGACATACTTATCGGAAGCTGGGATTGAATCC